CCAGGGGCGGGGCGCTGCGCCTCCCTCTCCCGTCCGTGGGGGGGGCGCCCCCCTCAATGCACGGAGCTCCCCCCGGCCTCGGGCGCCCCCTGGCGGCCGGAGCTCCGCTGCGTCATTCCTCCAGCAATTCCCGCCAGCAGGGGGCGCCAGCAGCACGCGGCGCTCTGCCCGCCGCTCGTTGATCCCGCGAAGCCCGAAGGGAAATGGAGGCGCGGCGCCCCGCCCCTTCCGCTTTGTGAGAAGTGTGGACTGCGTTACCCAGAGGGCACCGCGCGGGGAGGGGGCGGGGATTGGGGTCCCGTGTGGAGCGGCCGAGCCGCGGGGAGCCGAGAGCTTCGGCTTAACCAGCGTGGTCTTGCGCAGGGCCGTGGGGTGGGGGCCCCCATCCGCTTTCTGTGCTCCAGGACTGCGGGCAGTGGGACCCCCGCACCCCCAGGGGGGACTTGGAGGGGTCCTGCCAGCTCAGCGCAGCCCCGCTGGGGGGCACACGGATGTGGGGTGAGGGGTTGGTCCGTATCGGAGCCCTCGTGGGGCTGTCCGTCCGTCTGTGCGTCTATCCGTGCAGCTCCTTTGGAATAAAAGCGGTTTGTGAGACGTGTAGCAGTGCTGTGGGGGGGGGTCCTTCCTGCCTTCTCCCGCAGCCCCCGAGATGTGCAGCCTTCCCCTCCCCCGCAGCCGTGTTTGCTCAGGGAATTGGCCTCGGGCTGTAAACAGTGCTGACGTCCGTTCTGTGGCTCATACACATCCCAGGGGATGGCACTGCAGGGATGGCTCCCCTCGGTCACCATAGGGGTCGGGTTGGGAGGGGGAACACCCTACAGACAGACTATGAGCGGGGAGGGAGACCCCCGCAGTCGGGTTGAGCCTCCCTGCCTGCGTCAGTGGGTGTTTGCCCACCACCCACGGGCTGCTGGGGGGGGAATAAAGGCAGCTGAGCCCCGCAGCGGGGATGATGGACGCTGCAGTGGGAAGATGGGCGCTGCGTGGCTCTGCCTGCTCTGCGCAGCCAGCGCCGGCCTCGTCCCGCTGGGCACTGGGGGGGAGCAACGGCTGTGGGCAGCCCCACGTCGAGAGGAGCCGGAGCTGGTAGGGGGCCGAGGGCTGGGGTCCCTGCTACGTGCACCCCCTCGTTGAGGGGGCTGGGAAGTTCCCAGGGTTTTAAGGAGGGGGTTTCTGTGTTGGAATCTGGGCACTTTTGGAGGCTTATCTCAGCGCTGGAGTTAGAAAAGGGATATCCGGTGAGATGCGGGAATTGGCAGCTTTCACCTGTTTGTTCTTTCTCTGCGCACGGAGCTCCTGCCCCGCGGGGTCGATGCCAGAGGTGCCGGCGTTGAGGCGCTGCAGGAGGTGCTGGAGAAGCTGCGGAGCCGGGAGCTGCCGCCGACGGCCAAGAAGCCGGGCAGGGTGCCCTCGGTAGGGCCGGGCGTTGGGGGGCACGGGGCGCTGGGGGGGCACCCAGGCTCCAGGGTGACGGCTCCTGTCTCACAGTGCCAGCTCGGGGAGCCCTGTGCTGTGCGGGTGGGGGCTCGCTTTGGGAAGCGCTGCAGCTGCCCCCCCGGCACCGCCTGCAACCTTTACATCCTGCGGTGCGCCTAAGGGCTGGGGACAGCACGGATGCTGCCGGGATGCTGCTGGCTGTGCCATGTGGCGTGGAAGGGTGGCCACGCGCCCCGGCCCCCTCCCCACACGGAGATGCGCTCCTCTCCCCTGATCTGAGTGCCTTTACAAACCCTTGGGGGCCGCATTAAAGCACTTTGGACCCGTGGCTGTTGCCTGCTCTGCTCTTTGGGGGTTTCTGTGATGCCACCCTGGCTGTGAGCGAACTGTGTGGTGGAAGGGGTGGGGATGCGATGGGGCTGTGCGCCATCCTCCAACAGATTGTACTGCTCACGCTTTCACCGCACGGCACTGCACAGCTCAAATTGCCCAGGGGCTGCAGCGCGTCTAGCAGCCCTGCACAGTGCTGTACGGCGCATCCCCGCGCAGCTCTGCACCCAGTAGCCGTACGCAGCGCTACGGCACGCTGCACTGCATTCCCCAGCTGTACCCCACGCTACATCTTCGCACCGCATCGCATCCACACCGCACAGCACTGCAGCGTAAAGCAGGGCCCCACCCGGCGGCCCCACCCCGCCATCGCCCCTTTAAGCCCTCCCCTCCCGCCGCGCCCCCTCCTCCCTCTCTCCCCGCGCCTCGCCCTCCCATTGGCCGCCGGTGACATCAGTGGGCGGGACTTGGCGGCGCTGACGCAGAGGGGGCGTGGCCTGGGGGCGGCGCGGCAGCGGGGGGCGCCGAAGATGGCGGCGGCGGCGGCGGCGGCGACTCCTCCCGGTCCCGCCGCGGGGCCGCGCCGCTTCTCGCTGCTGGCGATCGTGGGCGGCGGCTGCCACCGGCCCGGGCTGCTGGCGGCCGCGCTGCAGCAGCTGGAGCGAGGTGAGCCCCGGCCTCGTGGCCTCGTGTCGCGGCCCCCCCAATGGGTCCGGCCCCGACGCCGGATCGGCCGCGCTCCGCCCGCCCCGGGCCCGAGGAGGGGGGAGGAGGGAGGAGATCCTCGGGGCGGGGTCCCGGTGGGCCGCGCCGCGGGCCGCGGTGGTCCCTGGGGGATGCCGCCTCCCCGGCGTCGGTTCCCGCCCGTCGTCGATGGATCTGCCCCGCCATCTGTTCCGCACCCCCGCCTTCCGCCCCTCTCTCCCACCCCTCCTCATGCAGTCCGCCCGTCCTCCCCGTGGGCGCTCGGGATCTGCCCCAAATCCCCGAGATTTGCCCCCGGTTTTGTCCCTGCCATCTGCCCCGCTCCGCCCCCCCGCTCCCGTCTCTGTCCCCGGGGACCCCTTTGTGCAGGGACGGATGTGTGGTGGTGGGGGGGGGGGGGGGTCTCAGCGTCTCAGCTCCTCCATCACCCTCGGCCCGGGGTCGTGGCATCGCAGTGCCCCGCTCTGGGGACACCCACGTGCCACCACGGAGCGACCAAACCCGCAGTGATGGGGAACCGCTGGAGAACGGCTCCGGCAGCCCTTTGTGCAACCCCACACCGCGGCTCCTTGCGCCATCGGCAGCCGTTAGCGGGCAGTGATGGTGGTGGCAGCCCCTCCCCTCCCCCTCCGAGAGCCCCCTGAGAGATGGAGCTCATCTGCACAGCCAATAGCTGGGCCTGCACTGGGCTGGGGGCTTCCGTCCCCTGGCAGCACTCACCCCAGCGCCGCTAATTCCATTAATTAGCACCTTCCCTTTGAAGAGGCGCTGGGAAGGTGCTGCCGTAGCCTCAGGGTTTGGGTTTGGGTTGGCAGAGGTGGCGTGGCTGTGAGTCACAGCATCATCACAGCACACGGCACACGCCGGCGGTGCCACCCTCACACCCGGGTCCCCACGCTGTCCCCATCCCTGCGGCGTGGGGCTGGATGGCAGTGCTGGTGCAAACCGTGGTTGGGTGACAGCATGACTGTGTGTGAGCCATGGAGGGGTGAGGAGTGGGGACAGAGGGGCTCTGTCACTTGCGGCGTGTGTGGGGACAGCAGGCACTGCCCACCCTGCAGGCATCCGCTCCTGGGACATCGACCTCACCTCCTGCAACCTGGATGAGCAGCTGAAGCTCTTCGTCTCCCGCCACTCCGCCACCTTTTCCAGCATTGTCAAAGGTACGGAGGTGGCACTCGGAGTTGGGGACAGCGCTGTGGTGGGGCTGAGCGTCAGTGCACGTCGGCATGGTCCTCACCTGACCCCGTGGCAGTGATTAATTCATGAGTCTCCCGAGGGGATGAGATGGGATGAGATGCTCTTTGCTGCGCAAACATTTCGCTGCTTCTGGAAAAGGGATTTGGGGAGGAGGTGGTGGCAGCCATCACAGTCACGGGGATGGGGGCCAGTGCAGGGGGGGGGAAAGGGGTGTTGGAAGTTTGTACCCCCATCCTAGACACTGCTGGCTGCTGCTTGGGGCTGAGCCCTGTGATTCCCACGTGGAAAGCTGCTTCCTATACCAACAGCCACATTCCTCCCCCCAGGGCGGATGCTGGTGGGGCTGTGTGGTCGCTGTGGTGCCAGCATGTCTCGACCCATGCGTGCTTGCAGCTTGCCACCCCCTGGTGGGGATGGGGTGCCCCATGTCCCCCTTTGTGTTTGGCTCCTGGGGGCTGTGGGTCTCTGCTTGAAGCCCGCAGCCTACGAGGAACCTCTGGGGGACAGCAGGGCAGCCCCAGCCTGGCTGCTCCCTTTCCTCCCCTCCCTGCAGCAGGAAGGAGATGGGAAGTGCAGCGGATCCCCCGCTGTCCTGGCCGGCAGCTGTCCCTCTTCCGCAGGGGAAGTGGACAGGTTCTGTCCCCGTCCTGGGCACGTTTGTGTCACCCCCTGATCCACACGCAGCCTGGCGGGGGAGGTCCTCAGGGACCTGCCACGTTTTGGGGAAGAATGGGTGGCAGCTGCTGTCCCCGCAGGTCAGCGGACCCTGCATCACCGCGGCGATGTGCTGGAGACCCTGGTGCTGCTCAACCCCTCCGACAAATCCCTGTGTGACGAGGTGAGCGGGGAGGTGGGCACCTGGGATGCAAATGGTACGTGAGGGGGGGGGAATGGGGGGCAGCATCCTCACGTGTCCTCACGCCCCCCTCTCGGCCCCTGCAGCTGCGCAACCTCATCACGGATGTGTCGCAGCACAAGCTGCTGGTGTTTGCGGGGCCCTGCGTGGAGGAGACGGGCGAGCTGATGCTGCAGACTGGCTGCTTCTCGCTGCGGGACTTCATCCAGATCTTCACTGACAAGGAGGTGCGGGGCCGGGTGTGGGGAGGCACTGTCTGCTCACGTCTGCATCGTCTCAGCCGAGCGAGCGGAGCTGTCTGTGCTGCGTGCATCCCTCCCTCTGCTGCATGAGGCTGGTGAGGGGGTGGCTGCATTCTGATCGCCCAGTACAGGAAGCTGGGGGCCACGGTGATAGCTGGGAGTGAGGCAGGGCTATGAGAGGGCCCAGAGATTGCAGGCGAGGGGTGCGTGTGCCTGGGAGGGAGCTGCCCCGTACGGAGGGACCCTGGGTGCCATGTGGTGTGAATGGGGCCCTGCCTGAAGCTCTCCCCTCACAGGTCGGGGAGATCCTGAGCTCCGCGGACCCCTCAGCCAAGGCCAGGCTGACCATCAGCTGCCCCGACTTCGGGGAGTGGAAGGACTCGGGTTTGGACCATCACAACCTGCAGGACTTCATTGAGCTGCGCTACAACCCCGGCTGCATCCTGCCCGAGATGGAGGGGCTGGAGGAGTTCATGGAGTACCTCTCGGAGTCGTTGGAGCCCCAGTCCCCCTTCGACCTCCTGGAGCCCCCCACCATGGTGGGTTTCCTCAAGCTCTCCAAGCCCTGCTGCTACATCTTCCCGGGTGGGAGAGGGGACTCTGCTTTCTTTGCCGTTAACGGCTTCAACGTGCTGGTGAACGGCGGCTCCAACCCCAAATCGTCCTTCTGGAAGCTGGTGCGGCACCTGGACCGCATCGACTCCATCCTGGTGACGCACGCGGGCACCGACAGCCTGCCTGGCATCAACAGCCTGCTGCAGAGGAAACTGGCCGAGCTGGAGGAGGAACCAGCCTCGCAGGGTTCGCAGGGCAACGGCGACTGGGCCCGCAACCTCATCTCCCCAGAGCTGGGTGTCGTCTTCCTCAACGCCTCCGAGAAGCTGAAGGCCATCGAGGGCAACTCAAGGGTGCTGAAGAGCTGCGACGAGGCGGCGCTGACGCTGCACTATTTGGAGAAGTTGGGCATCCGCCCCAACCCGCTGGCACGGGACGGCAGCCCCCGCGTGGAGCCCACCATCCTCTTCCAGAAGATGGGAGTGGGACGGTTGGACATGTACGTGCTGAACCCGGTGCGGGGCACCAAGGAGCTGGAGTTCCTCCTGCAGCATTGGTCTGGGGATGGCTACCCTGAGGAGCAGGAGCTGCCGCTGCAGTGCCTGACCTCGGTGTGCGCCCTGCTGGTCTGGCACCCCGTCAGCCCTGCCGAAAAGATCATCCGTGTCCTCTTCCCCGGCTGCACGCCCCAGGCGCGCATCATGGAAGGGCTGGAGAAGGTGAAGCACCTGGAGTTCCTCAAGCAGCCCGTGGTCACCAAGAATGACCTGAAGGGCCTTCAAGCTGACAAGCAGCTGAAGCAGAGGAGGACGGAGAGCAAGGAGAGTTTGGCGTCTGCCTCCAAGCTCAGCCTGGTGGAGGCTGGGGTACCCAAAGAGAAGGCTCTGAAAACGGTGGAGAGGAAGGAAGTGAAGGTGGGGACCAAGGAGAAGCCAAAGGCACTGGGGGAGGTGGCCAGAGCAGGGTCAGAGGAGGAGAAGGCCAAACTTGCCAAGCCGGACTCCTCTGCGGAGAAGCTGAAGGCAGAGGCGAAGCCAAAGGTGAGCAAGGAGAAGGCAATGCCCAGGAAGGAACCTGTGCCCCGCAAGGAGGAGAAGAAACCAGTGAAGAAGGAGGAGAGCACCGAAGGGAAGCTGGAACCAAAGAAGGATCTGAAGGCTGTGAAGAAGGACGTGAAGGCAGAGACGCTGCGGAAGGACACAAAGGACACCAAGGCTGAGCCCAAGGCTGCTGCAAAGCCCCCAGCACGGAAAACGCCGGTGCCTGACGCCCGCAAACCGCTGGCCAAGGCTGGCAGCATCAAGAGAGCCACCCTGAAGAAGGAGCCAGAGAAACCCAAGGCCAAAGGCGGCAAGGAGCTGGGCAGCAAGAGGGAGCCGGGGCCAACAGAGGGCTCCAAGCCTTCCTCCCCTGAAGACATGGTGCTGGATGCTGAGGGGAGGAGGAGGAAGGAGGAGTCACCGGATGAAGGCATCACCACGGCTGAGAG